ACAACATGGCCGAAGACGGGCCCAAGAGCGTCTTTGGCTCCTGCTCGTTTGCTTTCGTGCCTGGCCGTTCTCTGCTTCCCAAGACCATATCTGAAGTACGCCTTCTATGTCCTGCCCATTGCTATCTTCCTTCGATCCATGCATCTCTAACACATCCCAGCTTTCCCGGACAGTGCAAAAATATGGCGGAATCGCGTTGGAACCGGAGGCGGATGGCAAGCTATCCCTGGCTGAAGCGACACACGTCATCTCGAACTCGATCGACTTTGAACAGTACAATACCGCCATCGATATGATGCTTCCCGTCGTCACGTCGTCTTGGCTTACACACTCGCTTAGCCGCGGAAAACTGGCCCAGATCCGACCCTTCTCGCCCGACCCGCGCATGATTTTCTCGTCTGTCAACTTGACCTGCGCCGACATCCCCGTGGGCGACAAGGAGGCCATTACCGGCGCCACCCTGGCCCTTGGCGGCATGGAGTCCAAGGACTTGACGCGTCTGACGACTCATATTTGTGCTCTGACCATGGACCACGACAAGTGCAAGGAAGCCGTTGCCAAAAAGCTGCGGTGCCTCATCGTGCTGCCGCATTGGTTCGACGACTGCTTCAAGCTCGGCAAGAAGATCGATGAGACACCCTACCTTCTGCCTGACCCCCCAATCCTGCGGAGCATGAACGGTACCGGCGGCACTAGTACCTTCATCGGTAGCAGTGCACTCGGTGAGGGTGAGGCTGATGACGACCGCGTGCCTATCCCGCAGAACCTGGACCTCGAGGGCGCCACAACACCCCTGCCCGACACGCCTCCCAACCTTGGCTGGCGCAGCAACTTGACCGTCTTCCAGAACAAACGGGTCATCCTTGCCCAGGACATCAACATTGGCAGCCGGTTCCGCGCGGTGGTTGTCGATCTGATCAAGCGGGGCGGCGGACGCATGGTGGCCGACGACGACGTGGACGCGTGTGACATGTACATCTGCCACTACCGTGACGGCGATAACTACGTACGAGCGGCCCAGGCCGGAAAGGACATTGGCAACCTCGCCTGGCTGTTCCACATCATTACCAACAACGAGTGGTGCTCGCCGCTGCGCCGTCTCCTGCACTACCCCGTCCCGCGGAACGGCATTCCCGGGTTCGAAGACTTTGTCATCACGCTGTCGAACTACGGCGGTGAGGCCCGCATCTACCTCGAGAACCTTGTCATCGCTGCCGGTGCTAAGTTCACCAAGACGATGCGCATGGACAACACACACTTGATCACGGCGCGGGACAACAGCGAAAAGTGCGAGGCCGCACGCGACTGGAACATCCAGATGATCAACCATCTGTGGATCGAGGAGAGCTACGCGCGGTGCCAGGTGCTGAGCGTGACCAACCCGCGGTACACGACGTTCCCCGCGCGCACGAACCTGGGCGAGGTAATTGGCCAGACGTTCTTTGACGAGTCCAGATTGCGGGCTCTCTTTTACCCGGGTGGTGCCAACGAAGAGGAGATGGAGGACAACGACGACGACAACGACAACGTGGCCGTCAAGGGCATAGGAAAGAAAGGCAACAGGAAGGGCGCCGGCCGGCCCAAGAAGAACGTGCTCGTCGAGGAGCCGCAGGTGCTGGCTGACGTGTCTGGGGCGCAGAACGGCCAGCTGAGCGACGACGATGAAAATGAATTGTCCACTTCCAGCGAAGCAGAGCCTAATGCAGCCAATGGCATAACCCTCCCCCGGCGAGCAGCTCGGAATACCGCTAAAGCACCTGTGGCCACTCCATCCCGGCCACGAAAAGGCGTGCAGCAACTCGATAAGGAAAATGAGGGCACGCCGTTAGTTGTGGGCAGTGCCAGTCGGAGTGCCAAGGACAAGGCCCTGACGAAACTGCACGGCCTTGCCCCCGATATCGCGCTCTACGAAAAGGAAAAGAAGCGATCAACACGGGATGGAAACGCGCCATGGGGCGGCAAACGGGCAGCCGACTTGGTGGACAAGGAGAAGGAGAAGCTGGAGACGTCGCGGAAGAAGAGACACAGCTCCGACGTGGAGGGTGAGGGCACGGACTCCGAGGATGCTGAGCGGCCGGTCAAGAAAAGCCGGCCATCGCTGCCGCCGGTACAAATGCGCGTCGTCCTAACGGGCTACCAGCGGTGGGTGCACCACAGCGGCAAGGAAGAATCCGATCGGGTAAGTAGATACGAGCGCAAGGGACGGTACCTAAAAGGGACTTTTCATACTCATACCAGTACTGACAACATCTGCAGAGGAAACTACGTGGCATGGGCATCCAGATTGTGCAGGACAACCAGCCGTGCGACTTCTTGGCCGCGCCATGCCTCGTGCGTACGATGAAGTTCCTCAAGACCTTGGCACGGGGGCCAGAAGTGCTGAACGCTCAATACATTACCGACGTTCTCGAGAAGGGCAAGCTTCTTCCAACCAACGACTACCTGCTGCGCGACAAGGACGGCGAGGCCCGCTTCAACGTCAACTTGCGCAAGGCACTGGCGCGTGCGCGCGCCCACCGCGGCCGCTTGCTGTGGCATGTTGTTGTGTACTGTGCCGCCGACATCAAGAACGGACCTGAAAGCTACCGCGAGATCGCCGAGGCCAACGGCGCCATCTTCAAGACGTACCGGGCGCACAGTGGCACGACCATCAAGCCGACGCCGCCTGACGAGGACAACGGGCAGCCGCCCGAGCCTGTGTACCTGCTTACGAGTGCGTCTCCGCCGGAGCGCGCGTTGTGGCCCAAATTTGAGCAGATGGCGCGCGACGGCAACATGCTGCCGCGCGTAGTGGCACCGGACTGGTTGTTGGACGTGGCCATGCGGCAGGAGGTTCTATTTGACGACCACTACCTGGCCGAGAACTTTTGGGGCAAAGGGACATAAAGCAGCATGCGTGTGACGGGAATCTTATTAGAAATGGCGTCTTGTTCAATTGGATTTATTCTCTGTGGCTGCATTTCCAGGTGGCGTGATTATTGGCGACCTTTACCCTCATCGTGTTTTATATTGTCTTTTATTCAGCCCAGGTCACGTAACACACATCCTTGTTGTACATCTTCATCGCAAACAATAATGTCCCAAGACTGGGTTTTATCTCAGATTATCTCAGATGCTTCCTCTCACTTGCTGCCCATCGCCACGCTTCTATCACGCTGCCTATGTACAATTAACAAGGAAAACACACAAACGACTCATTAGTCTAGAAAAACTTGACGCCAAGCGAATCTTCCTGGCCAAACACCTGCGCCTTGCCGCGCTTCACCAGCGTCGCTAACGCCCGCTGCAGCACCACCGGGTCCAGCCCGTGCAGGTCGCTGCCGCGCGTCCCGTCGCCCGCCGTCAGCTCGTACAGCGTCAGCACGCTGCCCCTCTGGGCTGTGTCGTCCACAAACGCCTCGATCGCAGCGGCCCACTCCTCGGGCGTCTTCCAGAAGACGTAGCACGAGAAGGGGTCGGCGGGCGACGTGGTGGTTGACAAGGAATGGGAGGCCGACGACGACGATGTGCCAATCACTTCGATCCGCCCTTGGCGCCTCAGATCTTCAAATACCTCGCGCACCTCGCGTGCCGGCATCGTGCGGTCGATGGTGCGGTTGCGGAACAGATCGGGCGCGTAGTAGGCGACGCTCGGTGCCTCGCCATCGGCATCTGCGGCTGCGGCGGCCGCCTCGTCCCCGTCTACCCGCACCGGCCCTGACGATGAAGACGACGACGACGATCCGCCAGCGGCATCGCTGCGTGTCGGCGGCGCAACGACAAGTCGAAATATGCGGTAGTGGCGGCAGTAGGCCAGGACAAGCGACGACCACTTGTCGAGCTGGGCGCGGCGGGTATCGAGGTTCGGCTGGAGAGTAAACATCGGCGGGTAGTTATAGTAGTGGGGGAACTTGAATGCGGACGATGACGACGCAGACGCCGGCGCCTTGGAGCTCTGTATCGGTGTTGCCGGTGATGGTGATGGAACCGACGGCGATGCCGCGCCGGACCCAGCTACCCGGAAATCCTGTGCCATCGTGTGCTCTTTTAGGAAGAAAGCACAGGGCCTGAGAGGCGTCTGCTTTGGCGATTGTGATGCCAGTCGACGAGATGTCGTCCCTACAAATAATATTGTTGTCCGGGTATTACCAGCTTGTGGTATTGTTCGTTTTGTCTTTTTTGGCCGCTGTGAGATATCCAATTTAAGGTTTCTAAATCATGTGACAACTATGTGGACTGAGATCTTGCTTCGGCCGATGCTGATATAATTGACGGTCCAATGCGTTGATGGTGTCTGGAGATTGCTGGCTGCTCGGAGGGGTTAGTTGAGCTGTTGAGCTTCAGGAAGTGGGACCGTGTGGAGACATTGTGTCACACGGTGGTGTTTTACAAGCGACATGTCAGTGCTATGAAGCTCGCAATAAATGTCATTTGTTTCCAACATATCCGATTGTTAGCTATGTGTTTTAATATTGTATCATAGAATAGAGTTGTTTGGGATTTTTCATTTTATTTCCTTTTTTTCTAATTATTTAAATTTATTACGAATTCAGCGTGTTATAAATACATGAATATAACAAGAACCAAATAAAAACAAAGAAACGAAAGCATGTAACAAAGTACATGGTTAAACAAATAAACAATTCATTTTCCATAAATTGACACAAAGGTGACAACATCAGAAACATAGATGTATTCGCGAATTTTCTCGATTTTCAAAAACTCAACACCCGCGTCCACAGCGTTTTGGAAGACAGTGGTATATTAAACAGGCTTTTCAAGGCGCCCTCTCACGGGCATAATAGTTTGCTTCTTGTGTTCGTTTAGTTGTTTAAAATGCAATACGCAAAATTCAATTAACATCCGCTCGCCCTGCCAATCTGTCCAAATGCATGTACATGATAATACCCCTGTCTCGTCACGAGTCGCCACGTAGGCCGGACTCGGCAACACGGCTCATTCTTTTTGAATGTGCTGAAATCAGTATCCTTGTGTCATTGCTCGCGCTCTCGTTTATATCCCTACTTCTTCTCCTCCTTCTTCTCTTCTGGCTTCGGTGTTGGCAGCTTAAACGTCTCAGGCGTCTTGTCCACACCTGCGCCAATCTGCTCCCATGCGCTTGAACCACCCTCAAAGTTGCGGAACGCCTGCGTCAGCTCCAGGGGTTCCGTCACAATGCGCTTCTTCTCCTCGTCGTAGCGGATCTCCGTGTAGCCCGTCAGCGGGAAGTCCTTGCGCAGCGGGTGGCCCTCGAAGCCGTAGTCCGTCAGAATGCGCCGCAAGTCGGGGTGGCCCACAAAGAACACGCCGAACATATCGTATACCTCACGCTCAAACCAGTTGGCGCCGTCGAACAGGCTGGTGATGCTGGGAACCGGGGAGGCCTCGTCGGCGTACGTCTTGACTCGGATGCGCGAGTTGTGCCGCACACTCAGCAGGTTGTACACGATCTCGAAGCGCTGGTCGCGGGTGGGGAAGTCGACGGCCGTGATGTCGCTCACCTGGGTGAACTCGGCAGCCGTGTGGTCTGACGGGTTGGAAATAAAGTTAGCTGGCGGCACAGAAGCTACATGGCATGGCGAAAAAACGACAAATGGCAACCCAGACATACACTTCAAGAACGAAAACACGGGGACGATGGCTGACGGGGCCACGTAAATGGTGAGCTCGTCCTTCCACACCGAGAATTGCTGCACGTACTTGGGCAGCGAGCTCATCAGCCACGCGCCGTACTTGTGCATGTTGTCGGCCATCGCATCGTACTTGTCGGCCGGGTTCGTCAGCGGTGCCTCGAGAGTGCTAACCGCCGGCCGCGGGGCCTGCCGCATGTTGGACGCATTCTTGGGCACATGCACGGCATAGCCTTGCATCCGGCTGCTGGTCGACAGACAACGGGAGGAGGTCGCAGCGACCACGGCGACAGATGGGGATGAGGTGCTGGGCGCCGAGGGCTTGGTGGCCCGAAGAGCCGAGGCGAGTGCCCTGCTCCGGGAGACTCTGCTGGCCATTGTGAATGTGTGTCGGTGTTTGGACGGCGTGGGAGGACCTGTCGGTATCGACGGACGAAAGCGACGGGGCAATTGAGACGTCAGATCCCGCTCAATTGGGTCTATCCTAGGGCGATGCCGTTGTCGTGGTTTCGCGGACAGCTCTTCTGGTGGGAAATAGAGTCGTTGATTTTGCTCACTGGGGGATGCGGTATAATTTGCTTCGCTGTGATTGGCTGCTAGGCTCGGGAGCCGGATGATTGTATTTTCGACTCCGCATATCTGGTAATTACATAAAGGAAATTGCATTTATCGGGACCGTCTACTGACCGCCAAATGTAAACGCAAAACCTCCTGCAGCTCTTTCGCTGCTAGCTCGTTGCTCCGATAAAATGAAACCTTGTCGACCGCACGCTGGAGGACTCTCGGGACTGTTGCTCCTCTCTGCCTGATGCGGCGGCCACATGCAAGTCGTGCAGCCAGGCTATGGCTGCCTGAATACGCGCTGTCTTTTGGCTGTAACCTCCAACCGTGACTTGCCACGTGCCGCTGAAAACAGAAACCAGTCCATATACGTACTAGCTCCTTTACGGCGCTTGCTCGGGCAGTAGTTGATGTCCAGTCGCCATAGTGCAAATGGCCACTGGCAGCTGCCTAATAATGCTGGCGGCAAGGGCTCTGGCAGTCTTTAGCCTTCTGCCAACTCGCCTCAACGCCCCCACTGGCCGCCCCAGCTGCTCCGTAATACAGTGTAGAGTGTCCACAGCGCCCGTGAAATTTGCCCCATCTTGACGAGACGCCATCTTGCCCAATTTTCTCTGTCCCCATCTATTTCCCGACTTTTTCGTCTCCTTTTCTACCTTTCCAACTCTACCAAGCACCCCGTGTTTTTCTGACCTCAGCAAGTCCTCGCATTGTTCATATCCCAGGGCGTTTACTACGGACATATTTCTTTTCTCGCTAGCATCCATTTGCGCCTGCCGGACCAGAGCTTCGACCTTGTCCCTTTTCTATTTCACATTTCGTGATTTCTGCCGGATTCTTCGATTTTGGCCTCTTATAATTCACGCGCGTCGCGACTCGACCACCCGCTCTGCGTGCCTTCCGACATCGCCAGCTCGACTGAGACACCAATCCTTTCGAGTTTGAGACGCCTCTGTCCTCACCTCAACCGTCGACTCGCGCCTTATTTACCTCTCACCTTCGGACGCGCCGTGTTCGACCGCACACCTCTCACCAACCCTATCACAATGGCACCTCAAGACACCTTCATCGACGATGAGGAGGACACCTGGTACGCATCGCCATCATGCAGACCTCCACCATCGACTGCACCCATACTTCCCTGTACCTGGACTGCCTGCTAACTGCTCCTATTTCAATAGTCCTCTCTGCATCGAGGAGTTCGATTTGTCCGATCGTGGCTTTCGGCCATGTCCGTGCGGGTACCAGATCTGCCAGTTCTGCTTCAACAACATTAAGCAGAACATGAACAGTTTGTGCCCTGCATGTCGGCGACCCTACGACGAGAAATCCATAGTCTGGAGGGTCGTGACGGCCGAAGAGTATGTCGACCTTATGTCGATCCAACCCCACCCTCCTCCACCTTTGGTACAATAGGATATACTGACTTTTCACTTTTTTACTGTAGACATGCCGAGTTCCGCTCCAACATCCAGAAGAACCAGAAGAAGCGTGCTCTCGAACAGCGCCAAAAAGAAGTGCAAAAGCGCGAGGCCGAGAAAGAGAACCGCAAGAACCTGGTCGGCGTTCGTGTCGTGCAGAAGAACCTTGTGTATGTAACGGGTCTGAACCCGACCGTGCGCGAGGATGAGCTTCTCAAGACGCTCCGAAAACCCGAGTTCTTCGGCCAATACGGGAACATTCAAAAGATTTCGATTAGCAACCGAAAAAGCCCCGACGGAACCCCTTCTCTCGGCATATACGTAACGTTCGAAACGAAAGAAGACGCGCAGCGATGCATCCAGGCAGTGAACGGCTCGTTGAACGGTGAGCGCCCGCTCAAGGCCCAACTTGGGACGACAAAATACTGCTCCGCGTGGCTCCGTCACGAGCAGTGCACCAACCGCCAGTGCATGTTTTTGCACGAGCTTGGCGACGAGGAAGACAGCTACACCCGTCAAGACTTGTCATCAATGAACAGCATCAATACGCAGAGGCCTCTGGGGGCTTCGTCGCGGTCCGCTTCTCGGCAACAGAGCCATCCCATCCCGATTCCTACGTCTGCGTCGCAACCTATGATCCGCTCTTCTAGTCGAGACGAGTCCGAAAGCGGTGATTCATCCGCTCTTCCTGCTGCTGCCAGCTGGGCGCGAACGTCGCAGGTTCGCAGCCGCCGTGGTAGTCATGCGACCAGCGGTGCTGCCCCTAGTCCGGCCATCTCCATGTCGCTGCCTGTGACGACCGAGTCTGCTGCCGAGGCCGTTGAAGATTCCCCGACCATGGAAGAAGCTACAGCAATAACAGCGCCGTCTTCGCGAGCCCAAGGAAAAGCCCCTGTCGTGGACACCAACTTGTCTTCAGCCTCCCCGGTGACCAGTGGCAGCTCAGGTTCGCAGTCTGCGTCTGCCAAGGAAACGAAGGAGACAGACCCGGCCGCTAGCATCTTCACCAGTCTTTTGCTGGCGATGGGCAACTGCCCACTACCTTCGACCTTTTTGATTGACGGATTGACGCTCAACTCTTTCCCTCCCTTGTTCGATCCCCGCGGTGGCGAGAAGCGACGCGCCCTTCGCGACGACGAAAGCCGCCTGGATGCGGAGCAGGACGATCAGGCGACCGACGCGAGAGAGCCGTCTGAAGGCGAGCCGGAAAGCAGTGGTAGCTTGGCTTTGGGCGGTGAGCCTGAGGATCGCGAGCACACTCGCAGCACCCACGGATTCGACCAACGGCGGGGCGGACTGCCTCCCCCAATCCAGCGGTCGAACACCGAGAGCCTTTTCAACTCCTTTGGCGCGAACTACCTGCCCACCGCGAACCCCGGCACCATTGGCAACCGTTCCATGACCCCACAGCAGTCGCTCTACTCGCGCACCCCTAGCAGCTTTGCGGATCAGCCGCCCCCAGGCATTGCACAGTCGCAGGCGAACCTGTTCCAGGGACAGGTGCAGAACCGCCAGACCTCAAGATACGGATTCGGTGGCGACAATGCTAGCGGCAGCAGTACTACGATTAAGTTGGCTGCGAATCCGCGCATTCTGTCACAGCAGTCATCGATGCTTCCGCAATCTCTGCATTCGCAGCAGAGCGCACCCTATTACGCTGCCTCCATGCCCGGCCCCCCTCCGGGACTGAAGTCGACTGGCACCCCGCCGGCGGTGTTCGGCCAAAGTTTCGCAAACACCAGCTTCGGCGGTGCCCCAAAGGATACGAGCCAGCTGCTGCAGGACATTATCCGTGGACGAGGTGGTGGCAGCGCTGGCAGCCAGGCGCACGAGGCAGGCAAGCGTGAGTACATGATTCCCTCTTTCCTTTCCCAGTACCCATCGTCCGGCTCCTCCACTCCCGCTCCTCCTTCTGGTTTCCCGGCGTCGCCCTACGGCCCGCCGTCTGGGGGATTCCAAGACAATGGATCCAAGCAGAAGAAGAAGGGGAAGAAGCACAGACATGCTAACACTTCCTCCTCTGGGGGGAGTGGTCTAGTGGAGCTTGCAGACCCGAGCATCCTGCAAGCGAGACTGCCTCACCAGCAGAGCAACGCCGGCAGCGGCCAGGGACTTTTCGGGAACCAGGCCCAAGGTGGGTACAACCCGAGCATGATGTACAGTGCTGGCTACCCGAGATGGTGAGGGGGTGAATGAGGAGAAGCAAAAGCAAGCCGGACACGTCTTGGTTTGAGAAGGGGTGGCCAGCAGCCAGCAGGGGAGTGATTTTGAGAGGAAGAGCCGAGACAAAGGAGACGAGAAGCGAGAGACGAGAGACCCTGAAGGCTCCCCAACAGCAAAACGCGGTTTTTTGATTTCTTTTTCCCGACTGTGTCAGTTTTTCTTATTCCCCTGTCTACAATACCCGTTTTGCATCTCTTACCCATTTGTCCTGTTATTGCATTTCAATTTGTTTTGTTATATTTACGTCATGTCTCCCTTTCTTGTGCTGCAGATGGCGTATTGAGCGAGGCCATTCTGTTTTTTTTTTCCCCGCTTGTTCTGTTTGTTTGGCCATATTTTGCGTTTCTTGATGTTCGAATCCGCACGAGGCGTTTGTCCCTATTCCCCCACAGCACAAAGCCAACAAGTTGAGAGGCGTATCTTTATTGTTTATTTTAATCCTGTTTTGCATTGGAGGGCTTTTTGCATTTGGGGTTGCGGGTTGCGCGCAGAAAGAACCAACCTCGAGAGGCGAGACGACGATGTCAACGACCATCACCAACACTATCACCATCTTCACCTTTACACCTTGACCATCTTCCTTCTTCTTGTTGCCTTCTTTCAACTGTTTCGGCCTCGGACTGTTTCTTCTTCTTCTCTTCAGCACCACAACGCCTTCTGAGAGATCTTGCAGAGAGATCGTCGCCGCGACGCCAGGCAAGCCACCGCATCATCGTCTTGCCTCTCGAGGGTTCTTCCTTTTGTTACACAATGTATGTTAACTATCCGGGGCCCGGTTTCGTTTCTGCCTTTTCGTTTTCTCTTCTTTGCGGCACTCACCTGTCCTGAAGAAGAACGCAAGCGGGGGGCGTGACTTGTTCCGCCTGGCACTGTTCTAGTCTCGACGGGGCCCGCGTTTTAAAGAAAGAAGCAAGATAATCTTTTTTGTTCTCTATACCCTCTACGACAAACAAGTCTTTGTGTGCCAAATGTAACCACGGCCCTCCGACTTTGGTCAACAAGTCAGCACGCCCCCTGAAGGACGAAGAAGAAACAGGAAGAAACAAGAAGACAAGAAGACAAGGAAGAAGGACAAGACGGACAAGACAACGAACCCGACGACGACCGTGGCTGCTGCGACGTTCTTTCTGCGCCGCATATTTTCTTCCCCGTCAACCCTCCCCAACGTTTCATGTCACGTACGGGGTCGAGCTCATCTTGTACGAAACGCCTTCGCTTATCATGTATTTCTGTATCTCTTATTCCTTTTGCTCTGCAGTAGTTTGGGGTTGTCGCTGTCCTGTTTGCCTCAGGCACATGTTTAGCTAGGATGCTGGACCTTTGGCCCTTCAGTCTCTCGGTCTCCCTGGTCTCTCAAGTCTCGTCCACTTTAGTCTCGACTTCTTGTCAAACCGCTCCCCATAAACCATGGTGTGGCGTGTGGTTTCTGGCACTCCGTTTAAGGCGCGTTTCTCAAAGGATAAACTAACGTATGCTGCTTTTCCTTCTAGACGACGAACTTCCAGCTCTGGACGATGTAGTGTCCACTGTTGATGCGCTCGTTTCCGATGAGCCGGCCATGATGCCGTACCCATACGGCATCGACTCGCCGCTCCGTTCTGGCACGCCCTCGTTCCCGCCCGGATTTGGCCATATGCAGCCGATGCAGCACGCGACGCCGCCACCGCCGCCCGGCTTCGGCAGACCGATGACGCCAGCAGCCTCGATGACGCCCGTGACCTCGATGACACCGAGCAACCTGAGCACCCAGGCATTGCCCAAACCGCCCGTTCCAGTTGTCCCCATCGTCGATCAAGCTCTAACCAAGGAGAGGTCGGAAACGCCACTTCCCCGAGAGGATGAGAAGCAGCAGCCGACAGTGCCCCAAACTGGAAAAAAGTCGACGCGCGTTGCCAGTCTCGCCAGCAACAGCAGTGCGGCAACTGGTCCCGTGGAAAGTGGAAAGGCCATGAAGGCGCCTGAAGCGGCCCCGGCCCTGACTCATGTCGCACACGAGGCGTCGACGCCTACTCCCACGCCGGCGACGCCTCTCAAACTCACAAAGAAGAACAGCGTACTTCAGGACGAGGACTTTCCCGCTCTGGATGCGGCTGCTGCATCTGCAACCAAGTCCGCCGCAGCCGCGCCTGTTTCGCAGGTCCGGGCGTCGAAGCCATCCACTCCCGTGGGAAAGAAGACCAATGACAAGAAGCCTGTTCCTGCTGTTTTGAACCTTGCGGCAACGGCCAAACCAGCTGCGGCAAAGGCGGCGGAGGCTAGCCCGGCCGTCAGTGACAAGAATACGACCGCAGACATGGCGCCGGCGTTCCCTTCGTTACCCACGCCTGCTGCGCCTTGGTCGCCGGCCGTCCGCGCGGCCCCGCCCAAGACACTCCGCGTGGTGCAGCCGGCCAAGACCGAGTCGGGCCCTGCGCCTGTTTTGAGTCTGACGGCGATTACGGCTGCTGAGAATGCCAAACTCGCGGCGGCGTCGACTGCTGCATCGTCGTCATCGTCTACGCCCGCCCTGACATCTGCCGTTCTTCCCAACCGGCAGGCATCTGTGTCAAACCGTCCCAGCACGCCCGTGAGTGAGGTAGTGTCTGTCTCGGACAACGCGTCTGTCGTGTCGGCGTCAATTTCTGCCTCACGGGCGGGATCGCCACCGCCGCCGCAGCCGACCCGCATTGGTTCGGCCGCCGTCCGCAACACCACCAAGAGCCAGCAGCGCAAACAACGCAAGCAGGCGTTGAAGATGGATGCTGCGGCCGTGGTGGGAGCCGCCACGACGACGAGTACCTCTTTTGCTGGCCAGGCGCTGAACGAGCACGACGAAGAGGCCGTCGAGATCGCGCCGATCATGGGCCGCAAGAAGAAGCAGAAGAAGGAGAAGCCTGCTCCGAACCCAGTTGTGGCGGCACCCGCTGCGACGCCTGCCGCAGAGTCTTCTACGGAAACGGCTGCCTCGGCCAAGGTACCAAAGGAGCAGAAGGAGTCGAAGGAGAAGGAGGCGAAGGACGCAAAGGAGACGAAGGAGCGCGCCAAGCAGTCATCCGCTGCTAAGAAAAAGGACGATGCCAAGGAAAAGGCTGCTGCGGCGGCGGCCGAGGCTGCTGCTAAGTCCTCGACCGCAGAGACGGCGAAGAGCACGACGAAGAGCACGACGAAGAAGAGCGGCTCTGCGTCCAACACTGCACCTGCGGCCGCTACCACCGAGACGCCTGCTGAATTGACGCCTTCGACCGACTCGGCCAATGCCACTGTGTCTGCGCCCCTGGCGCACGTGCAGAAGCTGTTTGAGAAGGAGCAGGAGGTCCTTCGGAAGGTGCTTCGCGAGGCTGGCGAGGTGGCGGGTTCGACTACGCTCTCTGTTATGCGAGAGGACGATGCGCCTGTGAACCTCAGTGACGCCCAGACGCAACCCGGTGGCTCGATCCGGTCCATCGCACTGGACATGGCCGCCCGCGGCCTGATTGACAAGCACCTGGAGAACATCTCGCTGCTGCAGCCATTTGTGACACTGGCGCAGTCCCGCAGCGTGCCGCGCAATTCGGTTATCAAGGGCGACGCGCTGCTGCCGCCCGACGTGCTCTTCACCAAGGAGGACCTCGACGATATCGTCGCGGGCAAGGCTGTCCGCAAGTACGTCGACGAGGTGCGTCTGCTCGCGACACCCAACGGCGACTGCCTGCGCAATCTGACGGAGGCGGAGGAGAACCGGTTCATGACGCTGCAGCAGCGCCTTGGCAACAGCTTGGCGTCGCCGCTCAGCTACATGCACGCCCGGTACGAGGAGATGGGCGGGTTCGCGCTGATTGCGAAGCGTGCCGTGCCTTGTGGATTGCCGTCGTACTACCCGGTGAAGGCGCTGGCGCCGGCGGCCATGGCGGGCCAGATGCTCTTTGACCCAATGTCCAAGATCCAGCGCGAAGAGGCCGTCTATTGGATCAACCAGTACGTGCTGCCTCGGCTGAACCTGCTGCCGCAGAGCGAGGCTGCATCGTGGCAGTCCATGTTGGTGGATACGGGCGTGCCGCAGGCGATCGGCACGACGACGCTGGCACCCTGGATCTACCACACGCCGGAGATGCGTTACGGCATGCCGGCCAGCGGCTATGCGGCGAGCAGCCTCCCTGCCAGCAGCATTGTCACCAACGGCAACGGCGCGGCACGCGGCGCTTCGGCCTCCAACACCCAAGAACACGGCCGCCAGCAGCAAGGCGCCGGCAGCGGCAACAACAACAACTACAACGCGGACGGTACACCGGCACTGGAGAGCAACGGCATCAACAACGACTCCGCCCTGACGTCGACCAATGGCTTGAGCAGCGGCGGTCGTAGTCTTTCGTCCCGCCCGAGCGGCCGGTCGTCCGGCCTGATCGTGGACCGCGACAGCGTCGACCTGAAGAACGACCTCGAGAGCTCTGTGCACGCGATGAGTGTCGAGGACGCCGAGCGGTCGCTGATCGAGGCGCGCCGCGAAGCGAAGATCTACGAGCGCGCGCTGATCCAGCTCATCAAGATGAACGGGCGGCTTTTGCTGATGAGCGACGAGGGCCTGGCCAAGATCGCCGGCGGTCCGACGTCGGGCGGGCCCGGGTCCGAGGCCGGATCGTCCAACCGGTCGTCGCCGGCCCCGATGGCTGCCACGGCGTATTGACTCGCGCGCACGAGAAGCACGAGAAGCACGAGACGGCTGAGCAACCGGAGCACGGCGACGCTGCAGACGACTGGCCGGGTATGGACGGGCCTGTCCGCAACGCTGTTGGTGCTGGGGTGGCTGCTGGGTGGTGTGATGGGTGTGGCGTTGGGCCTGGCCGGGTGGGCGGGCGTTGTGATGGGGCAGTTGGCCGGGCATGTGTGGTCTCAGGTGGCGGCCAAAGGGACAAACTCGGCGACGAGCAAGGACTACCGCGATGAAACTTCAGCGGCTGCCATTGTCGTAGAATGACGGTTGCTTGGAGTCAAAGGCCGGTGTAGGAATCGTTTTTTGTAATCATCGTTTTGTTAGGATTCCCCTGTATTTTTTACTACTGTGTACCACTACAATATACTCTCAAGCAGCATATCATCAAGCAGCTGCTTGTTAACGGGGTGCCACGACAAACGTTGTACGCTACCAGTGACCTATAATTGTACACTCTGAAGCGACTTCCCTTCCTCCCACGATCTTCTCATCCATGAAGTGTGCCTCTGTACTCCCTACGCCCTCTCTGGAGTTTCAACAATCCAGGCCTTTGTGCGCACGAAGTGGTCTGCTTGTCATGCTTTGTTATCACGGTCTCGATGCCAAGGCCTTCACGGACGATAAACTGCAGACGACATTTGTCAACATTGCAAAGCCATTGAAAAGCATCAAAGCCAAGCGATCGACATCATTAATGCGCCAAGTACGGACAGTGGCAAGTGGTGCTTGTCTATTGGGCGCCTGTCCCGTCGAGGACCCCCAATAAGCTCTAACACCTGCGCGGCGCGTATAGGAGAGACATGGCGGAGTTGGCGACTGTTCGCGCCTCGTGTGCCTCAAGACTGTGGCTGTCCTGCTTTCCTGCTGCCCGCGTAAGCAATCACTAATAGGCGTGTCAGCGGGCAGTCAGCGGTGGCTTCAGCGCAGAAAACGGCGGGTCATTCGGCGCTTCCGCTAACAAGCTAAGGTTGGAGCCACGAAGGCAACTTTCTACAGGACGGAAAGTAACATTACCAACAGCTAGGCTCGCCAGTCTCCAAAACAGTTCAGAAATGAGCATAGCACTCGCAAGGACCAACAGCCCTGTTTGGTAGCAAGTAAGACATTGGTGGGGCTTGGCGATATGCCTCCCAAAATGTGGCGATTACGGAACACCAAACAAGCCTGACTGAGTGCGGTGTTGGCTCCATTCGGCAGACTGTCAACTCAGCTGAACAATCCATGGCCGGCTCGGCACGGCTTTCAATCCGTGGCAGCCAGGTGGCCTGCATGTAATATGCATGGCCATGACTTGATGCTGCTACTACGAAATGTGGATGAGGCTTTTAAGAGAGAGAAACAAGGGACCGGTGCAGTTCATTCTCACTGGCTCGTAGTGCGGCATTGGCGTCGTTCTTTTGCACAGAGACGGCGAGATACACGAAATGCGGGCTGTGGGGTTGTCTGGTTGTGTTTCGTTGGAGACAGAGAAACACAAAGAAGTGTTCAGCAACGCGTTGTGAATGGGCAGCTCGGATGTAAGTGGACAGAGTGACGTCACGGGCGGGGCCGGTGCACTTTTAGCAGCATTCGGCCGGCCAGCGGCCACTCGGAAACGGCGTGGGCCTGGCGACGCTGCCCTTTCCATGTGGAAGTGCTGAAATGGAACTGACGGCCAGTGAAGTGCCACTACGAAGTACGTCGCTGCGGCGGCAGAGGAAGGAACGGGAAGCAGAAAAGGAAGGGGCAGGAGGGCCATGAACGGCGCGAAAGAGAAGGAACCAGGAGCATCAAGAGTCTTTGGCCAGCCTCCTTCCGATAAAACAAAAACTTTGGGGATCCTAGTCACCCCACCTGCCCACCAAGCCCCCTCCACAGAACATCGCTTGCCTTCCGTGTAGAGAGTAAGTAGCCGTACCGCGTAAGGGCCATTTTCTATTCCCTGCTTGGAAGGTATCTTCCCTCCTCCGCTCGTTCCTCCCCTGGCTTATAAAGGAACCGTAGATCCCCCTCTTTATTTCTCATTGCTTCATTGCTTTCTCTTCATTCTCTCATCTCTCCAGTTGACTTTATCTTTACAAGTCTCACCTTTCACGCCATCTGCCATTAGCCAATACCTTGTTCGCTTCCTTGTCCCAATACACATCCACGCCACCATGCCTCAGCAAGCTGCGTCCGCCGAACACCTCAAGGACCTTTTCAGCCTCAAGGGCAAGGTCGTCGTCGTCACGGGCGCCTCCGGTCCCCGTGGCATGGGCATTGAGGCGGCCCGCGGCTGTGCCGAGATGGGCGCCGACGTTGCCATCACCTACTCCTCGCGCAAGGAGGGTGCCGAGAAGAACGTGGCCGAGCTGACGAGCAGCTACGGCGTCAAGGTCAAGGCCTACAAGTGCAACGTCGGCGACTACGCGGATGTCGAGAAGCTCGTCTCGGACGTGCTGGCCGAGTTTGGCAAGATCGACGCCTTCATCGCCAACGCCGGCGCCACCGCCAACGAGGGCGTGCTCGACGGCTCCGTCGACGACTGGGAGCGCGTTATCCACACCGACCTGAGCGGCACCGCCTACTGCGCCAAGGCCGTCGGCGCGCACTTCAAGCAGCGCGGCACGGGCTCCTTTGTCATCACCGCGTCCATGTCGGGCCACATTGTCAACTTCCCCCAGGAGCAGACCTCGTACAACGTTGCCAAGGCTGGCTGCATCCACCTGGCCAAGTCGCTGGCAAACGAGTGGCGCGACTTTGCGCGCGTCAACAGCATCTCGCCCGGCTACATCGACACGGGCCTGTCCGACTTTATCGACCAGAAGACCCAGGACCTGTGGAACAGCATGATCCCCATGGGCCGCCCTGGCCTGGCCAAGGAGCTCAAGGGCGCCTACGTGTACCTGGCGTCGGACGCCAGCACGTACACGACGGGTACGGACATTATCATTGACGGTGGCTACACGGTGCGGTAAAGCCGCTGCGAGAGACAGATACCCCCTCTTGAACGTTGGACGATGCGAAATTGACTCACGCCATATGATGGGTTTTTGGAGACACAAACAACCAAAAAGAGCTACATATACAATTGAGATTTGAATACGAAAACAAAATGAAAATAATCCGGCATATGAAACTGAAAAGCCAAGACAGACGTGGCTGATTTGATGTATTGCAAAGTGACGAGCCGTTCTACTCACAATATCTATCCATGCTGTGCGTGCTGACTGCAACAATATGGGTGGACAAAACGCCAAGTACGACCAACATATGCAAAAAGCGCACCGTCCCATTGTTTTTGTCGAGATTATGCACGTGGGACTCCTCCGATTCACAGCCGTCTTACCCCATACCACTAATGTCACTTTTGCATGGGCTCTTTGTCCTACGCCGCCGGCTGACCCTGCTTGCGGCGCCACGCCGCGGCCGACCGCGACTTGGGGTACGTGCGCGCCACGTCCTCTTCGGTAAAGCGCATCGTCAGCCGCCGCAGCCATGCCGCACGCTCGTTGAGCGTCATGCGGCGCTGCTCGGGGCCCAGGGGCACCAGGCGCTTGGCCAGGTAGGCGTAGTCCTGGAACAGGATGAGGCGCAACGAGGTCTCGAGGTAGTCGATGCCGAAAAAGACGAGCCCCTGCTCGGCGGCGTACTGGCGCTTCTGCGCGACAAAGGCGCGCGGGTGCTCGCGCCAGTGGCGGCGCGGGTTGAGGTGGTGGGACGTGTGGTAGCCGTCGTTGAAGCACACGCGGTTGCTGGCAATGTCAATGACGGTGATGCTGGACCGGAAGTCGGAGTCGGGCGCGTCCGGGTCCACAAACGCGTGCTGGCCCCAGTTGCCGAGCATGAGGCCGATGCGCAGAATGACAAACGGCAGCACAAACACAAAGACGGCGGCGCGCTGGTCGGTCACGAGCACATGGTGCGCGCCCGCCAGGACGCTGCCGGCCAGCAGGCCGTAGCTCGACAGCTCCCAGAAGCCAGCGCGCACGCCCTGGCCGACGCGGCGCGTGCGCACAAAGTAGAGCGGCAGGTCAAACCACGCCAGCACGAGGAAGCGGCCCAGGTACTTGCCAAAGTCGACGAGGCTGTCGCGCTGGTACCACATGGTGGACGACAGGTCGTCCGGCCCGTTGGCCTCGACGTGGTGGTGCTTGACATGGTGGTAGTAGTACGAGTTCCACGTATGGCCGATGAGGGGGTCCATGAGGTAGGGAAACAGGCGGTCGACGCCGGCCGTCCACCACTGGTCGCGCCGCAGAATGCCGCCTTGGTGGATGTGCTGGTGCATCATGATGGTGTAGGAGCCAATGCAGCCGAGCAGCACCCACAGCACGTGGGCGATGCCATGCAGCCACGAGAAGCGCCAGAACAGCAGCGCGGCCGCGCTGGGCACCACGGTGGAAAAGTACAGCAGCAGGTGCGTGCAGAACACGACATCCGTCTCGTGCCGCACGACGTGCCGCTGTGCGAACCGGATGTAGGGCTCCAGCACGGCGCGGTGAAACCAGCTGTGCGCGGCTGCCGAGACACGCTGGCCGACACTGGCGGACCGGGCATCCGCCGCCATCTTGCGCCGTGCCGCCACGCCCTCCTGCAGATCGCGCAGGTCGTAGCCGGTGAACACCGTCGGCTCGAAAGCGCTGTTGCCCGGGCTGTTGAGCGCGTCGAGCGTGGCCAGGACAGCATCGTCGGGTGAGCTGACGCCCTCGGGCCGGTCCTTTTGCTTCTTGGCATCCCGCACGGCGTCGGGGTCGTGGTCCACTTCGTCATCCTCGTAATCCCGGTCATCCCGGATGTCCTGGATCAGGTTCTCCAGTACGTACCGGTCGGCCCGGGTCATGAACGGGTCGATCGTGATGAGCTCCTCCGTGGCCGCCATGTTGCGTGTGAGGTGTCAATGGGGAGAGGCGGCAGGGGTGGGACGTGTAGAAGAGTGAGGAAATAAAGAAGAGTCGCACCGTTGGTGCAGAGGTGACGTTGTTTGGTGACGATCTAGCTTGAACTGGCCATGCTCACTTTCGGGAAGGGGAGAATAGCTCAAAATAGAACCAGTCAGTGGAGACTGTGATCCAGGTGTCAAGTAGGAACAGTGGGACAAGAGAAAGAAAAGCTGGGACGCTGGGCCGGAAATAGTAAACTTGAAGATTGAGAGGACGAAATGACAGGACAAAGGACAAAGAAGGGCATAGTCAGCGTGACGACGGAGGAAAGTATGATGTTCAGCGAGGCAGCGAAAATTGGAAATGCTAGGGGGCGGCTCTTTCTCGATTTGGAAAGCTTTTTTATTTATTATGGGGAAGGAGCTAGCTCGACAAGTGCCATAGAGCCAGTAGCTCCAGGGGTCATCAGGAAGGAGCTGTTTACAACGGTCGGCGGGTGACGGAAAGGTCTTGCAGTCTTTTGGACGTCAATTGGCAACTGCAACGACATGTTTCAATAGCTGGCCAAAGTAAGAAGGAACGGAATTGAAAAGACGTTCGGCGCCCCGAACTTATAAGTGGACTGAATTTGTCCCGGTTTTCAAACCCAACCGCGTTTCTGATGCTCCACGATGCGAGCCGTGGAAGACACATGGAAAGGCGGCCGGCCATTGAAAGTGTGGTCCAGCATAGGCAGCGACTAAAAACCAAGCCGGCACCTTTATTCAAGCATACACAACCCGTTTTCTCCGTTCTGCAGCAGCTCGCATTTTTGTGTTTTCCCATGGGTCTCCCCTTCAAACAGGTTTCACGTCGTGAACAAGGAAAAGATGCGCAAAGTGCGTTGTTTGAGGCAGACGCTGGTGCTCCACAGTTGTGAAAAGGGGCCCAACGGCCAGTCCACAAAACTCAGGGACAAAACAAGGAACGCTGGAAATTGGGTGGCATTGTACCTTGATTGTCTTCCAAGGCTTTTCAAACTGTTGCACCAAGACGATGTATGCATGCAATGTTCCTTCTGCAAAAGTACAGAATAGACTTAGTCTTGTCAGTCGCACAAGTGCCGCACTGCAGCCACAGCTGCGTAGGCGTAAAACGCTTCCGCGTGCTCTGACCGCTTGTCTGATTGGCTGCGTTAACCAGATCAATACTCCAAACAATGTAAAGAAATCCAAAGGACAGAGGGTAAAGTGAATTATTCTCTTTACTTAATATCAAAAACGAAACTCGGAAGGACAAACATGCAGGTGGCCTCCCATTTGCTGTTGCAGCCGCACATTAGACAAGCACCGGCCAGCGGAATCTCAGCGAGATGCCAACATCAGTCAGTCGTAAACAATACGCCATTGCGTCGCCCGCCAGCTCGCAGGGAGTCATGCGGACGTACAACATACCTGTATAAGTATTGCCCGCACTCATACTTCTTCTGGGTGTCGACGAAGGTAGACATTTTTCATTTTCGAAAGCAGAGTTTTGATGTGTAAGAAAAGGCTGTCCGAAACTAGAAAATACCACATCCAATAGCATCACGGGCGTTGCTGGTATTTATACACATGGCTGCAACATATTGCAGTTTAAATGGCCAAATAGGCAAGTGAAAAAAACGTGGATAAGCGAACAATGAAATAGGGAATTGTTTGTTGATATTTGCAAGTGAAGAAAGGAGCCGGCGCGCCCTTCGTCTTACAACCAAGAGTGAGTTAGCCGTCGTGACACGGACAAGCGTTCCCTTGCGGCTCCTTTATAGAGTGTGCTCGACAAGCCTTTTTAAAATCTGACTCATCAACGTGATAGTGATTTGGATTTTGGTGATAATTAAAGCTAGTACGGCCAAACATGGTATAGAAAAAAGGATTTGGGTAATAAGAAGAAGCGACGGAGAACAGACTAAGAAATATCCAATGGAAGAAATGAAAGGAGCAGCCGGCTCAAATAATATACACGTAGTCATATAGCCCTCCGCACCCTCGAACTCACGCCTGTACAGAGGCCTCTTGCGGCGTGGAGCTCCCTTCCAAGTTGGCTTCCGGAGCGACGGGAGCGCTGGTCGTAGCCACGGCTGGAGTCACCACGGCCATCTTGTTCACCGTGTTCAGGAATCCACCACGAAGCAACGCCAGTGGATTGAAACCAAGGTTTTCGTAGTTGGTGGCGCTGCGCAAACCGCTGTCGTCTGCCGCCGGAACGGGTTCGGGCGCGGCGGCAGGCGGGGCCGCAGGCTGGGCAGACTCGGCCGTGCTGTCGCTGTTGGCTGCCGCAGAGGCGTCGCCCTCGGATGCCGTCACAGCAGCCTCCACAGCGGCGGCAGCAGCGGCCGCTGCGGCAACCGCTGCGGCGGCCAAAGTGGCAGGGTTGCCTGCTGAAGCGGTGCTGTTCGCATTGTTGCCCGTAGCGTTGGACGGCGACGATTTCAGCCGGCGCGCCAGCGTCTCCCGCAGCGGGCCGTTCCAGACGGAGCTGTTGGGGACCTCGGTAGCGCCCTCGGCGCCACCCTCGACGGGGATCGGCTTGGGTGCGACAACCTCAAGCAAGTCGTTGAGGGTGCGCAGCGCAACCTGGCGCTCGCCGGCGACCTTGGACAGCTCGGCCAAGATCAGACCGGAGAGGCAGATAAAGTAGTGGTGGAACGGGCTGATGGGGGGCCCAGGCGCGCGGCGGGAGACAGCCTTGGCGTCGGTAGCGACAAGGGTCAGCTCGACGACCTTTTTGGTGGCCCAGGAGACGTCGGATGAGAGAGTGGACGGCTGCAGCAGGTACGCCAGCAGGCGGTACTGCCAGTAGCCGAGATGGACGAGCGGAGCGGCCGATTCGGTGACGGAGTCGGGCAGGTCGGCGCGCCACATCTCTAGGCCGAGATCGAGCTGCTGGCTGAGCGGGCCGAGGAAGGCGGCAGAGGAAGAGGACGATGATGGGGTTTGCAGTTGGCGAAGGGGATCCTTCGAGACGAGTGCAGGCGCAATGGATGAGCCGAGCAGGTAGGACAGCTTCGTAAACTGGAAGGCGGACTCGCCCAGAAGCGGGCGCAGGCCGGGCGACAGCACAACGCTGCGCAGTGGGATGAGCAGCGGCTTACCGAGCGCGACGGCATTCCAGCGGTCGAGCACAACAAGCGACCACCACGCGCGCAGGCCCAGGCGAGCTTCGGAGTCGGTGTCGACAGCGCCGGCCTGGGACGGATCGTCTGCTGCAGCCGCGGAGATGGTGGCGACGGTTGCGCCCAGCTGCTCCTGAGGCAGGTCCATTTCGTAGGAAACGGCGACGGCGCGTGACAGAAGCGCCGTCTTTGAGAGGCCGCCGTGGTGGCCCTTGAGAGAGGCCGGCCCATGGGTGTCTGCTTCGATGGCAAGAAGCAGCAACGTCTGCAGGTGGACGAGGTCGTGCAGAGACGTGCGCGCACTGCCTTCCGTCTCCCACTGGGCAAGAAGAGCACTCGCAACACGCGCCAGACCAGTCGTTGGCACGGACCCAAGCGCGTCAGAGACAGCGCGCAGTGCGACTACGAATGCGTCTTGCAGGAATTGGGGGCACTGAGCCAGGTTGTCGAGCACGCGGGATCGGTCGCTAGGGAGGAAGGGGAGGCAGGGGTGGATGGCAGTGAGGTAGCTGCAGGCGACGAGTTAGCATACATGCATGAATACGCAACGAGACGAAGAGGTGGGAGGAAAGTTCGTATACGAACCAAGCAAACACGGCGTCGTCCAGCTCCTGCGACTCGTGATCGGCCAGAGGCAGCAGCCGCTCCATATCCGTGAGCGACCGAGAGAGTGCGTTCGGGGTGTCGCCATCGATGTGCGGTTGAGGCGCGAGCGACACGGCCGAGTACGGCGTGCGCGGCGTCGTGGTGGCCCAGGCGGTGTGTCGGTTGTTGTTTTGCGGGCTGCCGTCGGGCGTCTCTTCCGATATGTTGGCAAAGGGCCGCTTGGCGTTCTCGTTGAGCGAGTATCGCGCATAGCCGTTGGCAGCATCGCCCGCGTCACGCAGGAGCTCGAGGGCGTCGGCGGCGGATGCGGGACTTTGGTTGCCCAGCTTGCCCTCGATGCTGTTGATACGGTCGGCGAGCTCCTTGATGTACCCCTTACTGGGGCCGCGCTTCTGGGGCACGCGGCTGAACAAGCACTCCATGCGCGCGCGCCGGCAGTTGGTGCAGTGCTCGGTCTCTGACACCGCGTCGCACTTGATCTTCTTGCGGCGACACGCGTCACAGGCGCGTGATACCTTGGATCGTTTCCTTGGCGGGATGTGGTCGACGTTGTACTGTTGGGCCATATGCGCCATCTGCAGCGACGCCGGCAAGTGGCTCACGCCCTGGACGTCAGCCGGGTGCTGCAGAGTGTGGTGGTACGCGGACGTCACGTCGGGGCTACCGTATGTGCCATCCGCAGCAGCCGCCGCCGCCGCCGCCGCCGCGACGCGCAACGCCTCGGCGTCGTCTTGGCCGTCATGCAAGCCAGCGCCGGCGTCTGCGCCGCTACTGACACCGCTGGTGGCGTCGTGGAACTCGCCTTCGCGGCGCGCATTGGCCTCGCGCATCATGGGCGCGAGGCCTTGGCTTAGCTGTGCGGCCAGCTGCAGCTCCTCGACGCTCACCGGCGCCCGCACACCCTGCTGGGGTTGGTCGTGGGCCGGGTTGTGCTCCTGCTCGTGCGGCTGTTGGTGTTGCTGGTGCTCGTCGTGCGCCACGCCGTCCTGGCTCTCCGCCTGTTGTGCGGCGGCTGCTTGCTGCACGTGCTCCAGCGCAGCGGCCGCGTACATGTTGTTCTCGTCGTTAGGATGGTGGTCCGCTTGTGCCGCGCCACCGTACACGCCGCCGCTCCCGTCGTCGGCTGGCCCTGTATCCTCCGTTTTAAGGGCGCGCAGGTGCAACTCAGGATACGACTCGTCCGCGTCGCCGCCCATGCTGACGTCGACATCGTCGCTGCCGTTCACTGCAGCGACCAGTGCACGGACATTGGCCTCCGTCGTGGCGGCGCTGTCGTCCAGCTGGCCGCCGCGGCTCTCGTCAGACTGCATGCCTCCGAGCTGCGGATCTATCTGGTCGAGACTGACGTCGGCGCCCGTGGCATTGTAAAAGGAGGTAGCGCCAGCTTGCCCTTCGGCCGTTGGCGTCGGATACTGCTGTGTGAGGGTCTCGTCTGCATTGGCAGCGAGGCCACGTTTGTCCATCAGTGACGCGGTGAGGAAGAGCCCGCGTCGGTGTCGTATGGTATTGTTTTGCAGCGAGACAGGCGTGCGGAGGTTACGGTCGACGCGTCGCGAAAGTCAAGGCAAAAAAGATGTCGAAAGGATCACGGCCGGGGCCCGAAGGGGATACCGCCGGCGAGAGAGAAGAGACAAAGCTTTACATAAAAACCACGTGTCAGCCAATTGACCGTACTACGGCACCGGGCAAGGTCTGCCAAGCTGTCGGCACGCGGCGCACGAGGGACGCGCGACGGATGCCGGCCAATGTGAGCCTCGAAAATACATCACGACAAAGTGTAGTGGTGCTGCAGCAATTTGAAGCATTTTGTAGCAATTTTGTTGCAGAGAATACTGCCAAAATTGCACGACGCACATGTATTGCAGCTTGCAGTGGCAAACAAGAGCAAAAGCGCGGCGAAGCTCGACATATCTCGAGGCAAAAAGAAGTGGACTCACCTCTGGTCAAATAACCTGGAACTGATGATATTCCGATGCTGGGAAGCGCTGCCAGTCGAAGCGCGGCGGAAGAGGAAGAACCAGATGGCCGATGTGGATGGGGAAAGGAGAAAGGAAAAAGAGAAAGTGCGAGGCAGTGGGAGACGGCGAGCTTTCAGGAAAAACTTGTCTGCCGGGAAGAAGCGGTTGGTAGAGTGGGGAAGGCAACTTACGAGAAAATTTTGCATGGTTGGTGTCGTCACGTGATTCGTCACGAAGTGTTTAGTCATCCGGCGACTGCCACTTACACCAAATTGGGTAGCGGCGATGCCAAAAAGCTACATGTTCGCTGAGAGCCTGACGTTTTGCAAGAACGATTTGTTTGGAACTCGTTTCTTGGATTAGATGATGGAATGCTGTAATAAGATTTGTTTTTTACGGTAAAATAATAAAAATAAGTAAATAAAAACGAATGAAAATACAGGCCTTATGGGGGGAAATATCAATTGGAAATTTTTAAATTTTATGGTACCATGAATATTGATATTGAATAAAAAAAAAACAAGAAACAATTGTAGAGACGACGGACACGGATCCGCAATAAAACAACACAATTATAATGGCTGAACTCTGCTCAACATCTCCTACAAACCCATCAGCACGTGTGAACGCGACAAAGACAAGAAGGCTGTAAACTTCACGCAACGGGCGGAAAACATTACTGGGCTGTGCAATACATATTACAATCCACTTGCACGGACTAACAGTTTATGAAAAATATGATACCACTTGTTTCTGATGAAATAAAGGAAAAAGACACATGAGAGTGTCAAGTTTGCGGCCGAGAAAACGGAAAGCACATGACTTGCAATTCACGGTCGTGGTTGCCTGTGTTGCAAAACGGGGATCGCAGTTATTTTAGCGCCGGATTCAGCCAACCTCACCTCATACCTTTTGTTCTTCGCAAAGACAGCCGACCTCATCCACCCGCGAGAATATCTGTCGTTGGCTCCATGAAAACTGGCTGTTTGCAAACAGTAGGCGCAATTATGGGCCCAGACCGCCAAAATGTCTACGTTTGACGGCTTCATCAGGGAGTTTCCTGACATCCAAGGTGTGTGTCAAGGACCTGTACACTGTGGCACAATTTTGGCAATACGATGCTTCACCGTTCAATCGTCTAACCAGCTGTCAGTCGACTACTTCCGCAGCACGCAGGGGATGGCATCACGGCGACCCTTGGCCGGCTTCCTGAGCCATGTCCACAGCGACCACCTCGTGGGGCTGGACACACTCCGCTCGCCGTTGTACGTCCACTGCCTAGTCTCGACGATGGCGACTTTCTACTGACACACCCAGCGTGTACTGTTCGACGGCAACACGGGCCCTGGTGTCAACACTGGAAAAGTATCCATGCCACGTCAATTTTGCCAAAGGCATTCTCGAAGCACGCAAGCGGACGTACAAGCATCTCCAGAACCTTCTCGTACGTGACTACCTGGTGCGTGTAGACGGATGCGATTGGCGTCTAACGAAGCCGTGCAGAAACCCTTGCCTCTCGATACGCCGACGACGATTGAGCTGTCGCCCGGGAACCGCATCCAAGTGACGCTCTTTGACGCCAACCACTGCCCTGGATCTACCATGTTCTGTAAGCCGTGTGGCCGTTGACGTTATGCTGAGCCCAAGACTGACATACATAGTGTTTGAGGACGAGTACAAGGCTGCCCTCTACACGGGGGACACGCGCCTGGAGCCGTGGTTTGTCAACACCCTCGTCCGCCACCCGTGTTTGGCCGAGTACACCGCCGGCCTGCGCACCATCGACACAGTCTACCTGGACACCACATTTGTCGAGAAGGGTGTTGACTTTCAGACCAAAGCAGAGGGCTTGCGTGAGCTGTTACAGACGGTCGCGAGGTACCCTTCGGACACAATATTTTACCTGCGCGCTTGGACATTTGGCTATGAAGACATCTGGACGGCGCTGGCCAAGGCGCTGCGCTCCAAGGTGCACGTCGACGAATACAAATTGCGTCTTTATAGGTCCATGGCACCTTTGGCCGCTAAAGGCCAGAGTTCCATTCCCAGTACACATGCCTATATCGACCCCGTCGCACCCAGCCTTGTGGGATTCATGTGTGCCAACACCGCACATGATGGCTGCCTGAGCGTCCAGGATGACGTGCGCATCCACAGCTGTGAAAAGGGACTGGGATACTGTCCCACCATTAATCAGACGAACCGGCCGGTGGTTTGGATCCGTCCAATTGTGTGCCGACTGCCACATGGCCGCGGTGAGGTGCCGGAAGTTGGGGCCGGTGGTGGCGGAAAAGACCTCAACAAAGAGGCCGAGCTGGACGTCTACGGCCAGGGCGAGATTGACCGATTGTGCGAACTGTAGGTGGACTTGGCAACATGTGCTTCACGTTGTGCTAAGCTAACTTGCTCTTGCAGGATTTCGACGGTGAAAGATCTGTCCCAGGAGGAGAAAGTTGACCTCCAGACCCTGCTCGCGACTGCAGTTCACGGCGACCGTCAAATCCCCATTCACATTGACCCAGACAATTTTCAAGAGCAAGGGCAAGACCGGGAGATGGACATAAGCAGGATCAGATACGCTCTGCTTGAGACGGCGAAGCGTCAGCGCTACTACAAGACCGGCTTCGCCCTGTCAAATAGTAAATTGGAGCCCAAAGGACACCCAACCGCCGTCAACGAGCTTTCTCAGACCATCACCTTTCCTTATTCGCGCCATTCTTCCTACCGGGAGCAATGCGATCTTCTCGACAAGCTGCACCCCAAGGACGTGTGGCCATGTACGTTTCACCCAGAGGAATGGTTTGCTGGCGGAGAGCCAGTTATCACGGTTGAAGATCTTTTCGGCCAGTACTGCTCGGGGAACACGTTCCGCCACGACGTCGAAGCGGCAGAGACATACGGCAAACGACCTGCAGTCGACGGAGAGGATGCACAGATTGTTATCGACAGCCAGGTTACGACACAACCAGACCATGGCTCGAACCCGGATGCCGTGTCTCTCCTGGAGACGCAAGACGAGCAAGTGGTCGGCGGCGAATGCCCTCAAGATCACAACGAACATCGACTGGCCCAGGAAGGACGGCGCCACCCACCACGCAATGATTTCGATTATCCTTACTTTTACCCCAAAACGACTGCCTCCTACGTTGCGTTGCATGACGGCACGGAAGACTCTCAGGCGACACAGATTTCCGAAGTTTCTGGAGAGCGGCGTTTTGCCTCGCACCAGGCGGCTGTCAACAATGCCGTCGGAGGTGGCGAGTGGGTGCACATCGCACTGGAGAGCACCTCCGATAACCACACGATGCCGGACGTTGACCTGGGATCTGGATGAAGCGTTTTCGATTGCACTCATTGCGCTCCATGACAGGCTTGCGGATCGAAACCCGGGGAAAGGGGAGGTGGTGCCGCGGCAGAATGCGAACGCTTTTAACAAAAAAAAAAAAAAAAAAAAAAAAAAAACCCACTTGCCGCATTTGCCTAAACTGGATGCCGCACCCTTTTGCTCCGTGCATCCGCAACGGCACGCAGATCTGATCCTCACTAGCCTGGACATGTGATGGTCCTGTTTACTTGCGGAGTTGGGGTAGTAAGTCGGAACAAGCTCATTGCTATCATCTTTCGTTGGCTTGATCTTAATGATCGTATCTTGACCTGGGATTCCCGTTTAACCACAGCAAACTTTCTGGGAGCAAGGATCTACTACGACGTCGATTTTTCGGCTTCAAGATGGGCGGTTCTTTCCTTGCTGTTTTCGGCCTCGTCTTGAGCGCCTTCTGGGCTCCAACGGCATTGTCGCTTCCGACAGCAGCATCCGAGTTGGACCCTGCCTTTGGTTCTGTCGGGCCTCGCCAGAGTCTTGATCTCGCCGCCATCGCCCCAGAATTGTTCAACGCGCCATTGACCAGAAACACCAAGGATGGCGCGATGGCCTCTGACCTTGCAGGCTACCTGACCATTGTCTTCCTCGGCGCCGACCCATACATCTACTTTTACCTCAGCGACGGCAACAACCCAATCGCCTTCAAGGCTCTCAACAAGGGAAGCCCTATCCTCAAGCCGACGAAGGGAACGGGCGGCGTGCGTGATCCCGCGATTGTCAAGGGCGGGGGTGATGAGGCGGGTCGAAAGTGGTACATTGTCGGCACGGACCTCAACATCGGCAAGACGACGTGGGACGCGTCGCAGCGGACCGGCTCACGGGGCATCTTTGTGTGGGAGAGCACCGACTTGCTGACGTGGATCAACGAGCGGCTGGTGACGGTCGAGGACCAGACGGCGGGCATGGTGTGGGCGCCCGAGGCCATCTGGGACCCGGCCAAGAGCCAGTACATGGTGTACTGGTCGTCCAAGTTTGTACGTGAAACTTGCCACTTGTTTATGATGTGTATTTGACCAGTCATCTCATCTCATCCGAGCGACTCTAGTACACTGCATCCGACAACAAACACACCGGCTCGCCCACCAACACCCGGATCCGGTATGCCTACACGTCCGACTTTAAG